GGCCATGGCTCACGGGCCCAGCCGCTCCGCGGCATGTGGGATCTTCCTGGACTGGGGCACGAACCCCCACCCCCTGCATCGGCAGGCGGACTCTCAACCACTGCGCCACCAGGGAAGCCCAGAAACACGGTGTCCACTGTTAGAACATGATTGACTGTTACTAGAACACCAGCATGTTGGTTGTTAAAACACTGGCCATCACTAAGAGAAACCAAGGCATTCTGAACATTGTGTGACTGTTATTTGGAACTCCATGGATCAGGTGACAGAACATGGAATAACCATTGTTAGAACCCTGAGGATCAGGGGTTTAGAGATTGGGGTGTCCCTTGCACAGAAGTCTGGGTGTCAGTTGTTGGAACATTGGCCATGAAGTGTCAGACATTGGCTCTTTGGAACGGAGTGTTAGGTGTAAGAATGCTGGGATGGCTTAGAACAGACTGTGGGGTGGCAATTAAGGGGGGAACAGGGAGAGAGGAAGCTGTTACAGAGATGGTGGCTTCGACCAGAGTAGTTACAGTGGAGGTGGTGGGAGTGGTCAGGCTCCAGATTTATTTTGAAGGTAAAATTGACAGGATTTGCTAGAGAATTGGATGTGAGCCACAAGGGAAGAATAATCAAGGATAATGACTAGTTTCAGGGCAGAGCAGCAAGGGGAATAGAGGTACAATTTACTGAAATGGAGAAGACTAGATCAAGAGCAGGTTTGGGCAAAACAAGAGTTCATTTGGGGGCATGTTAAGTTTGACATGTCTAATAGATATCCATGTAGAGATGTGGGGTAGGCAGTCTGGATAAATGGAGCTGGAAGGAGACTGGTCGTCAGCAGGTTAACAGTGGGAAGCCCTAGGCCTGAAGGACAGCAGCTCAGGAAAGAATAATCAGCATGAAAAGAGAAAGGAGGGTTGAGGCCTGGGGCACTCTCCCGCTTAGGCCAGGAAGAAGAGGAGGTGTGAGGTGGCAGAGAGATCAGGAGAGTGGGATTACAGAAGCCTAGAGGAGGAAAGCTGTTCAAGAAGGAGCGTGTGGTCAGCCATACAGAGGGGCTACCAGGGCAAGTAAGATGATGGGAGAGATTTAGCAAGATGGAAGTCTCTGGTGACCTTGACGAAAATGGCTTTGGTGGCGGGTTGGGGACAGATGCCTCAAATGCTTATAACTCCTGTTCTAGGCTGTAAGAGGCCTGGCTTTCCTGCTGGGATGCTGCCATGTGATTTATTGGACAGCATCCTAACAACATTAGCTGCTGCCGAGAGGTCAAGCAAGGAAGGCCGAATTCAATCTGTAGAGACAGAGACAAGCTGCCTGCTGGTGACCTTGGAGAGGCTGGTGGGGGTGGAGGGTAGGACAACTTGTTGAAACATTTGGCCTTGAGGGGAAGAGAGAGATAGCACAGTTGTTGGAGAAGGTGGCTGGTAGAGGATAGGTTTGGACCAAGGTATGTTGAAGTGCTGTTGGGAAGACTGAAAGGGAGCAGGTGATGCTCTAGGGTTAGGGAGGTGGGAGTGAATTACACCTACGTGTACACACACACACACACACACACACACACACACTGAAGACAGGCTGGGACAAGAGAAAGGAACTGAGGAATAGGTAGACAGGGATTCCTGCATTCAGTCAAATGGGCCCAGCCCCAGCTGTTATAAGAATAGCCACCCTCAGGGCTGGGCCAGCAGGGAGAAAAGGCAAGGTGGACCAATAGCCCAAGCTCCATAAGTATACCAGATGTCCACACAGTGCAAGGCACAGGGCCAAGCGCCAGGAATCAGATGAATACACCTACATCCCTGCCCTTTGGGAGTAAAAACAACCGATCAAAATAACTCCAACCCAGTACTGTAGTCAATGGTGGCTAGAGCTTTGGGAAGCACAGAGGGGAATGTGCCCAGCAGAGGGGACACCACTTAAGGTGGACCTTAAATGTGAGTAGGAGTTTGCTGGGCAGAGGAGAAGGCATTTGGTAGACAGAACAGAAGTACGGGGACTTGCAGGTGAGAGGCAAGGGGTCATGTGTATTTGGAACAAAGAATGGCTGGGAAGGAGATGACTAGATGGAAAGGAGGGCCTAGGTCAGTGTGGGTGCATGAGGGCAGGAGGAGCCAGGGAAGGTAATGAGGAGGGGAATGACGTGGTCAGATTTGTGTTGTCTATCAATCTCTCTGGCCAGCATGTGGAGGATGAGTTGCAGGGGAGATGAAGAGGCAGGGGCAGAGTCCTGGCCAGAGTGGTGGTGGCCTTCACAGGGCAGCAGCCCTGAGATGGACAGAGGGGGCCTATTCAAAGGTTGTTTGTGAGGCAGAACAGAGACTGAGCGGAGGACAGGGCATGAAGGAAAGGAGGTGCCCAGGGCACCCAGGTTTATGGCTTGACAGCACCAACATGTCTCCAGCAGGAGCAGGGAACCGCTTCCCAGGCAGACCCATAAGGCAAGGCACAGGCAGGGGGTGCCAACCTGCCTCCCATCCCTGGACCTAACGTTATTGAAGGCTGCTAGGACACGGATACACACACGCACACACATACACACATATTGCCTGGATTTTGCTTTGGGCTCTGGTCCCTCACTGTAGAACCTGGGTTGAAACCACTCTCCCCACTATTCTCGCAGCGCTGGGCCCCAACACACATCGTGCCCACAGGTGCCTTCAGGAGTCCTGGGGGCAGTTCACCTCCATGTACTTCAACACACACAAAAAATACAAGTGGCTGCATTTCAGTGAGGACTGTCTGTACCCGAATGTGTACGTGCCAGTAGGAGCGCTCCGGGACCCCCTGCTGCCTGTGAGTACTCAGCCTTCAACCACGCACCATCCCACTCAAGCACCCCACTGTCCCGCTCAGGCCTCAGCCCTTCTCGCCCAGGTGATGGTCTGGTTCCCAGGACACGCCTTCCTCGTGGGCTCCGCTTCCACGTATGATGGCTCCGAATTGGCGGCCCGGGAGAAAGTGGTACCAGTGCTTCTGCACCACAGCCTCGGTGTCCTGGGCTTCCTTAGGTGGGCGGGGCCGGGAACCCGAGGAGGGGACCAGGGGCGGGGCCTCCTCTGGACTTGGGCTCAGGGAGGGGGGAGGAGAGGATTGGGCGGAAGGAACGGGGCACGCCCTATGGGGCGTATCCGCGTGAGGGGCGTGACAGGGGCATGGTCTAATGCTTGTTGGAGCAGACAGGTGCTTGCTACCGCCTCAATGGGGCGGCGCCCAATTATAAGGAAGGAGATGCGGTGGTAAGACCCAGTCTCTGAGGGACACTGGGGGCGAGGCGGGAGCCCCCAGCGCCCAAGCGTCGGGGCTCCGGACCCTGATCGTGAGCCCCGCGCGCTCAGCACAGGCGATAGCCAGGCCCGCGGGAATTGGGCGCCGCTGGACCAGGTTGCAGCTCTGCGCTGGGTGCCGAAGAACATCGCAGCCTTCGGCGGAGACCCAGGCTGGGTGACATGGTTTGGCCAGTCATCAGGGGCCATGTGCTTCTCGGGACTGGTGAGTGCAGTACCCAGATAGACCAAAGCAGGGACGCAGGCCCGCATGGCCTATGGGTTCTGCACAGATACGTGTGAAGATTTGCATGTGCAAGAACATTCCGGTCCACACACCTGCCCTCACCCCTGCCACGGGTACCGCCCCGCACAGCCAAGGATGTCCATTACATTCAGCACTGATGAGAAAACCAAGCCAGCCCAGGAAGGGCAAGGCTAACACTATGGATGTGGTGGGCCTTAAAGATCACCCAGCACCTCCTGGCCCTCCACGTTCCCCCAGAGCTCTATGCCTGAAACAGAGCCCCCCATCTGCCCTCTGGGCAGGGTTGGGACCACCGACCAGGCCTGGGAGTCAGGCCTGGGTTAGAGACTGGGCTTTGCCGCTGACCTGGAGTGTTCCTGTAGTGTGGGTGTAAGGTCAGGTGCCCTGTGAGGGACATGTGGCTGGGCAGTGAGCAGGGACCACATCACACAAGGCCTTGTGGGCCACAGTAATAATGCTCAAACACTGGAGCACATTCCCTGTGCCAGTCACTCTTCTAAGCACCTTAGGTGTATTCATTTGTTAATAACCTCAACAATCCAAAAGGAAGAGTATTCCCTTTCTTCCCTCTGCAAAAAGAGAAGTCTTCTCCACTCTACAGATGAAGAAAGTGAGGCCCAGAGAAGTTAAGCAACTTTATTGAAAATGCACTGGAGAGCAGGGAAAGATTTTTTTTTTAAAGGTCAAGTCTTGTATTTATTTATTTATTTTTGGCTGCGTTGGGTCTTTGTTGCCGCATGCAGGGGCTACTCTTCGTTTCAGTGCGCAGGCTTCTCATTGCGGTGGCTTCTCCTTCTGCGGAGCACGGGTTCTAGGCGCGCAGGCTTCAGTAGCTGTGGCACGCGGGCTCTAGAGCGCAGGCTCAGTAGTTGTGGCGCACGGGCTTAGTTGCTCCGCGGCATGTGGGATCTTCCCAGACCAGGGCTCAAACCCGTGTCCCCTGCATTGGCAGGTGGATTCTTAACCACTGCGCCACCAGGGAAGTCCCAAGCAGGGGGAGATTTTAAGCAGGGGAGTGACACAATCAGATGTGCATTTAGAGTTGGCTCAGTCTGCTGGCACTGGGTTAAAAAGAAGCACAAGCAGAGGCTTGGAGACCAGCTTGGGGTGGGGGGTGGCATATCTAATGGGGGCTGTTTCTGAAATAGAGGTAGAAAGGATGGACAGTAGAGGATGGCTGCAGAGTGATGCAGGAGGCCAAGTGGACAGGACAGGGGCAGCTGCAGCATACGGATGACCAGAGGATAGAGGGAAGGCCCCTGGGGCTAGGTGGATGCTATGGGTAAGTGACAAAACCCAGATAGGGAGTGGCTGGAGCAAGTTTTGGGCACATGAAGTCTGAGGTGCCCAAGGGACAGGATGGGGGTCTCAGATATGGCTGTTCCCTCCCACTTGGGCAGCAGAGAAAGGCTAAGAGCTATCAGTGCAGATAATTGGGACGCTGGGAAGCATATGGCCCCCTCTCCCACACTGCTAGCCCAGCAGCAGAGGGAGGCCCTTTCTGGTTGTTACACCAGCAGAACCACTATAACAACACTAGATCCCCTCTGGGACCCCTGGGGCCCGTTGAACAGACCAGAACAAGGATGGCCAGAGACAGGACGGCACTGGTTCTAGGTCTAGGACTCCAGCCCAGAGCTCCTGACTCCCTCCCAGCTTCTGCCCTCTCTGAGCCCCTTCAGGCTGCCCAGCCATGGCCAGTGGTCCCCACTTTTGCATCTCATGGGTGCAATTCTCCCCACCCCTGCAGGTGACATCACCCCCAGCCTGGGGTCTCTTCCAACAGGCCATTTCCCAGAGTGGCACCGCAGTGCTCAGAGTCTTCATCACTTCATCACCTGGCTGAGGTTTAGCTGGGCTTGATTCACCCCAGTGCCTACAGGGGACATTCTGCCCTGAGGATCCAGGCTGGTCCAGACCTGCTTCTGAGGGTCCCTCAGTTCTCCCCTCCTCAGGCTTTCTCACACAGGTCTGGGGAAGGGAGTTTCTCCAAACAGCCACCCAGAAGCTATTCTTCCCCAAATTAGAGGGAGAGCAGCTCAGCAGAAGCCAGTCAGGCTGCAGCAGCTGCGAGGATCATAAAGGAAACTCTAGGACCTTCTCTAGGAATTCAAGCAAGAACTCTGGCAGGCAGCCTGGATGGTGAGCTGGGCCCCTGCCTCCCATAGTCCCTGCCTCATACCCTCCCCATCCGCCCGGGAGGGTACCTCTCTTCCTTTCTGCTCCTCGAGGATGGCACTCCTGGATGAGAGGGTTGGAGAGGGCTACCCACTGCCCTGTCTCCACCCTGTCTTCATGCCTTGGCTGGGATCCCCCGATGGCCACCCAGAGTCCTTCCTAAATCCCCTGCCAGACCCTACCCCGCAGGGAGCAGTTCTCAGAACTGATTAGATCTTGGTGAAGACCCCAGGACACTTCTGTGGCTTTTCTCCAAGTTTACCTCGGCTCGCCCGGGCCACTATGAGCACGGAGGCGCACCGCTGCAAAGCTGGCCTAGGAACCGGGCGCGCACACGCGTCTCCTGCGGGCCCCTGCGGCTCAGCTCGCCCCTTCCTCTCCTCCAACACCCCGAGATCCCCCGCCACTGAAGCAGCAATCACCGGCCGTGGCGGCTGGGAAAGGGCCAATTAGTGCGGGAGACGCAGCCCCTCGGCTGTGCCCGCGCTGACCGCAGCCCCGCAGCGCCGCCGCCGCCGCCTTCCCTGCCCGGCAGACAGCGCCAGCCGCCTGGGAGCCCCGGGGGACGCGCCGTCCGGCCTCCAGCCAACTGCAGTGATGGATCCAGGCGCCTGGCGTGGGGCCAGAGCCCGGGCGGACGCGAGGGCGCCGGGAGCTGCAACTCGCCACCGCTGGGTGGTGGGGGTGAGCGGAACGGGGGCTTCCCTCCCTGTGAGGGCTCCTGCACCCCCGACGGCCTGCGCCCTGGCGCCGACCAGGGACTGAACCTGCACCCCCGGCATTGGAAGCATGTCGTCTTAACCACTGGACCACCAGGGAAGTCCCTGTTTGTTGTTTTTTAAGATATAAAAATAAGAGCGTGTTTGCATGCTGCTGGGAGTGATACAGTGTTGCAGCGGGGCTGGGGCCGGAGGGGGGGGGGAGGGTGGGGGAGGCCCTCTTACAGCCTCAAGGTCCTTTGACTTCGGGACTTCCGAAGCTCTGGCCTAGGCTGTCCGAGCCCAGAGCAGTTCCCTGTTGGAGGCCTTAGCAGGACCTGGCTTTAGAAAGCCTCGGCTTGTGCTTGATTAACGCTCCCGTGCAAGAGGAGGTGGGCAGAAGGGTGGGTGGGCAGTGCGGGGCCACAGGTCTCTTTCACTGATGCATGAATGCATGGACTTCCTCCACTGGGTCCCTGCCCTGCACAACCTGCCTCACCCACCTGTAGGCTTTGGGAGACCCAAGAGGCATTAGTCTTGCCCTCCAGGAGCCCTCAGGCTGTGGGCAGAAGCTCCAGGGGCTTGGCTGGGATCCCAAGCTAATGGAAACTCTGCGGTCCAGGGAGGCTTCGGGTGAAGGAAAGGGGCAGGCACTACCACTTCAAGGCTTCCCCTTCCCCCAACTGGCTCCTTTTCAGCCCAAGCTGGACACGCTGGAGCCCTGTACTGAGGGACAAGAAGGGCCTAAGCCCAGGACACACTCTGGATGAGGCTGAGGAAGGGAAGAAGCAGTGGGGAAGGGTTCGGCAGTAAGGTTCACAAATGGGGTTCACCAAAGAGATCTACTGCAGGACACTTCTGTTTCCCCCACCTGTGCCACAAGGGGCTGGGTCAGAGGTGCTGAGTCCCTTGACCAGTCCTGGATGCAGTAGTGTGGGGCTCAGGGTGGCTTTTTCCCTGTGCCCCCCACCCCACTCAGGTCTGGCCTTGGTAGGGAAGGGCTGGGGGCCTGCTTTGTGCCCTAGAACCTCACTCAGGCCCTGGTGGGCCAGACTTCCTGTGAGGGAGAAGGGATCACTTCTAAGGGAGTGAGAATTCCCCTTTCTCCGTACCAAGCTCGTTAGCTGCGTGTGTGGCAGGGGGGAAGACTGAGAAATTGGGGCATGGGGACTGAGTGAGGAAGGGAGACAATGACACAGACAGCACCTTGGGTCCTTTGTGGAATGAGATGACAGCGCATTGAATTAAAGCATGAGGAAAGGTACGGAGACAGGTGAAAGAGACCGTGGAACAATCTGCCAAGAAAGCCAGGGAGTGGAAGAAAGAAACAGAAGCAGGTGGACACACGCCCAGACAAGCAAATGGACAGAGAGCCAGGGCAGTGCCGCGGGCTGTCCCGGCTGGAGAAGGGCAGTACCTGGGCACTCAGAAGGGAGCAGTGGGCCCTGTTTCTCATCCCAGTTGTCTGACTGCCGAGACCCTTGGGGGCATGATAGAAAGGGTCATCTGGAAAGGCTGTGGGAGCACAGGGATGACCTATCTTGGGCTGGGTTGGGGTGTCAGGAGGGCTTCCAGGAGGAGCACCCGAAAGGACCAGGAGGAAAGACTGGAGCGGATGGAGGAGAAGGAGGGGGAGCTGCGTCAGAGGCGCAGCAGAAGGACAGGCCTGGAGGCAGGAATTAGCCTGTTCCGTCCCAACAGTTCTGCGCCATTTTGGCCCACACAGGAAGGCTAAAAGAGGAACCAGGCCCAGAGCTGGAGGACCAGTCCTATAAGCCTGGGAGAGAGCACGGCCTCTACCCTGAGGTACTGGGGAGCCATGGGAAGGACATGTCCCGGTCAGGCTTATCTTCCAGGAGGTTACAGAGTACAGAGCAACTGGAGGAGGAGGGGTAGAAGTGGGGGGAGGCTGGTGCAGAAGTGGACAGTGAGTTCTGGACATGGAACAGAGCAAACAATTTCATAAAGCAGATGGGCGAGGTCGACTCTGAACATCCCCTCTCCCCCATCCACAGGTGGGCCCCTGGCTCAGAGCTCTCCCACCCAGCCCAGCCTGGGAGCTCATGTGAACCCTCCCCAGGGCCTGGGGTATCTCTGCCCCAACCAAGTGGGACCAGGAAAAGCCCCAAGAGGGAGTCCAGTCCAAGGTGAGGGCACAGGCAGGGCCAGGTGTTGCTGAGGAAGCTTCCCGCTCCACGCCCCCTCCCCCCGCATAAGCTAATCAAGATAGTACTGTAGCCTCCTGCCACTGACCCTCTATCATTGCAACGATAGCTCCATGGCCACAGGGGGTTGAGTTTTGGCCTATTTGTCTGTGGAGCAAATCAGAAGGGGAGGAAGGTCCACGTGAGCCCTGAAAGAACTCAGAGGCTGAGAGCAGGTGGCCTCACGGAGCAGAGGTCAACATATCTCTTTTAGGCAGAGTTTGGGAGCTGTGTGTTCCTGTCTGGGCTTGTTTCTCTGTGTGTGTCCTCAAGCAAGCCACTTGCCTATCTAGGTCTGGTTTCCACTCTTCAGTGCACTGGGAGCAATCTCTGGGGTAGGACACTGCTCCAGCCCCGGGCCCTTCCAGCTATGGTCCAGGACTCCTGTCTACTCCCAGCCTGTTCAGCCCTAGGTGCTATGGAGGAGCATGCCTGTGGCTTCACCAAGGGGTCACTGGGTGACCATTACGTATCTTCTACTGTGAAGGAGCCAGAACCCTTTTGAAGGGGAGCCTGAAGGTGGAAGAAAAGCCTTTCAGGAAATTAGCACTAGTGGCGGGAAAATTCATCAAAAGCTGACAGAGGCTCCTGGTGCTGATTCATGTCTCTTGCCTAAGGAGCAGCTCTTCTGGCCTGAGGGAAGGACTGGTAGCTTCCAGGGCCTTCCAAAGACCCCAGACCCAAGACTCCAAAACGCTGGCCCTGTTGCTGGGGCTCTCATCATCTGGTGGGGACACCACCATGAGTTTTTTGCTCCTGAATCATGGGATTCTACAGTGCTAGGAAAGGCTGCTAATGGACAGGGGACTTGGGTTTGAATACAACTGTTCCTTCTGCTCTGTGATCTCAGACACTCGGTGGGCCTCTCTGATCCTCTCTGCCAGGAGGAATTCTGACCTTGCCTGCCTTCTAGGTGACCAATACATCTATAATACTCAGCATATCTGGGAAAAGAATAATTTTTCGAAGAGAGAGGATGGAACCATATCCAAACAACTCTTGGTAGTGGGACCAAGGCAGCAGCGAAACAGTCTGGATGTGGACCTCATTATTCTGGTGGCACAGACCTCCCTCCCACTTCCAGGTATTATGGAAGCCAGAAGAGCTGTTGCAAGACACACCTCCAGGGAGCACCATTTACCTGGTTTACAGTGTGAATGAGCCCCAGGATGTTACCTGAGCTCCATGCCCTACCTCCTCTGAACTTGCCACCTACACACACAAGTACAACACCCGTGCCTCAGAGAAGGCTCTGATGGGATCTCTTGGTTACCACCTAACCCAAAGCACCCACACTGGACAGTCTTTGCAGCTCCGTCCTCCCCTCCAGCCTGTCCATGTTTACCTTCAGCTCCCAGAACTGGTCCAGCCACCAGCCCAGCCAGATCATGTGAAGCAGAATCCTTTGAAGGGGCTATGGATGTAGCAGACCCCAGAGCCACAGGGAATCCCTTCCAGGGCCACTCTGATCCTGGCACTGCCACTGTCTCTGGCTCAGCTACAAAAGGAGGCACACCACAGGCAGCTATCCTCTGCTGTAGGAGATCATTAACTCCCCAGCCTTGTTAAACCAGCTTCCTTTTTCAGGCCCTTCTTAGCTCATTTTATGTTTTTTTGTTTTTGAGCGGGTTTCTTTCCGCCACAGTGTGAGGCATGTGGGATCTTAGCTCCCTGACCCGGGATCGAACCGACGCCCCCTGCAGTGGAAGCATGGAATCTTAACCACTGGATGGCCAAGGAAGCCGCCTCATTTTATGGTATTTTGA